CGCAGCCATTGTGAAAGGAGATCACCGTCAGGGTGAGGGGCCGGCAAGTCAGCGCAGCCCCTGGCTGGGTTCTGGAGGCTAAGCTGGTAGCTGGGGCCCTCCAGCTGCTGCTCCTCTAGCCGCTCCAGCTTGAGATTGGTGCTGGAGAAGGACATGGCTATCAGGAGTCTGCAAAAAGAGATTGGACGCATGGGAGCTGGGGACCTTGCCGGGCCCCTTGCCCCTCACGTCGCACTGTGCTCCGGGCATTAGGGGCAACACTGAACATAAGGAGAGAGCCCCCTACTGAGAACCTGCTCTGTTCCCTGCAGCACAGCGCCCCCTAGTGCTACACTAGGGCATTGGGACAATAAGGGTGCTCCCTACTGACTCCCAACAGGCTCCTCCTTTGACCTTTCTCACTGGAACCCACTCTGAATGGAGGGGGGGGTCTTTCTGAACCCCACCTTAAACAGTGGGCTGGGGCAGTGAAGGGGTTAATACAGCTGGTGGACCTTGGGCTGGCAGGTTGGGGGAGGGTGCAGGCCATTTAAGGGCTGTAGGCAGATGTGCCACTGGGACAAAGGTTCCCCCCTGCAGCAAACTCTCCCTCCTCCCAGGGTCCCTGGCCAATGCAAACAGGCCTGGCTGCTCCCTGAGAAGGCAGCTGGGTGAGATGTGTGGGGCTGATGCAAACCGGTGGCCCCCTGCTCAGCACCACAACGCACAGTGCCTCCAACCCTCCACTACTCCCCTTGAGATCCTTGCTCCCACATCCCCCCAGGCCTGGGCAAAGGCCGACCTCCCCATTCTCCCTCTGCTGAGAGAGCCCTGTTCCCCAGGCCTAGTCTACAACAGCCCTATCTAGCCCCACCTCTGCTGAGACTCCCTCGCTGCCCTCGGCTGCGGCAACCCCTCCCCCTGCTGAGATTCTCCTCATGTCCAGACTACGACAAGCCCTCTTTCATGGCTCCAACCCTGAGGTCAAAGCCCCCCCCCCCCCCCGCCATGTCTAGGCTGTGACTGCCCCATCTTGATCCCTCCAGCAGAGATCCCTGTTCCCCAATGGTCCCGCAGGCTACAGCTAGGCAGCCCTTCCCTCGCACCCCCTCCCAGACTCCTACGTGGCCAGAATGCTGCTTCCCACTTTGTTATCCCGACACAAGAATGCAACCCCCCACCCAGAACAACGACAGAGCAGTCTGTGTCCTGGATAGAAAGCAGTAGGCGGGGGCAAGGGGCGTCTGACAAGCCCCAGGACACTGGCTGGAGGGGGTAGCAGCAGGATTCTGGGCTCTGTGGCTCTCATTCTGGCTAAACTTCATAGTAAACAGACAAGCCCTCTGCCCTCCTCCCTGCCCCCTATATAGCCCAAACCAGACCCTGTCTCTCCTCCATCCATCTCCCCTTAGCCAGCCCCCTGCATCTCCTCCACCTACAGCCTGCTTCCTTTCAGCTCTCCTACATCCTCCACCCAGATCTTCGCTGCTCCCCTACATTTCCCACCCCAGCTCTCTCCTAGCTCCCTGCTGCCAAGCCACTTCACATCCCTCCCCCCCCAGCCCTCTACCCACGCCCACCCAGACCTACATCCCCTTTGGCTCCCCTAATCACCCCACTTCCCCAGCTTCTCTGATATCCTGCTACACCCCCGGCACCCCACTCCCAGACCTTCCCTGGCCCTGAACATCACCTGATCCAGATTCTGCAATCAACTCCCAGCCTTTCCCTGTTCTCTGCATGCTACCCCTTACATTCCAACTCCAGTGTCTCCTCACCCAGACCCTGCCACCCCTCAAGTTCCCCAACCCTGCTCCTAAATCTCCTTGCCCTCTGTTCTCTCTCCCCAGCATCCCTGGGGTGACTGCAAGTCCCCAATTGACTCTGCCCCTTTTGTCCATGCTGCCGCCTGAAGGCAGGTGCCAGAAGCAGATGGTATTCTGACTCACCGCTCTGCAGGTACCTACCCCGGGGAGAGCTCCTGTGCCCCGATCCCTGGTGCCTGCCGGTCTCTGCCACACTGATTGACAGAGCCGGGAAGGACCTGGGTCATTCCTCTGGTGACATCACACCACGGGGACACAGCCCCACGTGGGGAGAGAGGAAATGCCAGTAGCAGGGGAGGAGCTGAACCATGATTGGGCAGAGGGTTATCCCCTTGTCAATCTTGGGCCAGAGTGGGAGGGGGTGGACAAACTGGACCCACATGCCAAAAGGCAGAGACCAGAAAGGGAAAAGGAAGTGCTAGGAAATAAATGAGCCTGGGAACCCACTCCCCTGCCAGAGCTGGGGATATAACCCAGGTATCCTGACTCCCCATCCCCCCTCTAATCTGTGACACCCCTCTCCTCTCCCAAAGAAGGGGAGGGAACCCAGACTCCTAACTCCAGGTTCTCACCAGAACCCACTGCCCTTCCAGAGCTGGGATAGAAGAACCCAAGAAACCTGACTCCCAGCTGCTCCATCTCCACCCCTGGCTAAGTCAGGTGGCTCTAGCCCTCACCTCCCAGCTGCCACTCTGAGGTGCTGTAAATCACACCATAAAGCCAACGATACTTCCCCCGAGGCAGCTGGCAGCCGGGCAG